AATCATATAGCATTGATATTCATTTGAAAACAGATATTATTCCATCAATAATCTTTGCACATTTTATAACAGCATTTGATGATAAGAAACATGAACGAATAACAAAATTTTAAAAAGTTCCATTCAATCAACATTCAGTCACATTATTTACTAGACATTCATTTCATATTCTATTTATTGAATTTCTAAATAATTCTTATCTAACTGTTCTAAGAGAACAATTTATTCCATCAGAACATATTTCGATTGATATTAAGTTAGATAATATGTGTGTAAATATTACTAAACTCTTAAATTCAACAATATTTGGTTATAATTATCTTCGTCAGTTGAAATATTATCAATTACCATGTCTTGAAAATAAAAATGTTTTTATGATGAAAAACACATGTGTGTTTGTGATAAAAATCAATTTTCGAATTGTTTTCAATCTAATCATAGTATGCCATATGATTGTCAAGGATATAATTATTGTCAAAATAATGGAAAATGTTTTCAAGATAATTCCACTTGTCCAACAACATCGATATGTATGTGTGAAAAATGTTATTATGGAAATAAATGTCAATTTAGTACAAAAGGTTTTAGTTTATCACTTGATGTAATATTTGGTTATCATATAAAACCATTTGTTGCTCTTTTTAAACAATTAAAAGTAGTGAAATTATATACAGCATTAACGATTATAATGTTTATACTTGGTTTTATTAATGGATCATTATCAATATTAATTTTTCAAACAAAATCTTCAGTTGTAGTTGGTTGTGGAATTTATCTTTTAACAACATCAATTATTTCATTATTAACAATAAGCATTTTTACAATTAAATATTGGCAACTTATTCTTTTTCAAATGAATGTTATAACAAATCGTTCATTTCTTTATGTTAATTGCAGAGGTGCAGAATCTTCCAAAAAATCAAAAATTTCCCTCCCCGCGGAAATTTTCTCCAAAAAATTTCCCTAGAGTTGTTTTTTCTTCACCATTCACAGACCAACTTTATTTGGCACAAAATATAAGTAAAAAGAAAACATGGCAAACATTTTCTTCTGTTTGTTACTGTTCGTAGAACATAGGAATTCTTTCAACTTGTTCTTTTCTCAAGCGGTTCAAAACAACTGAACCAGGTGAAACTAATTTGAAAGGACGATGTTGTTCTGTTTTTTTTTTGAAGAAAATCCAGTGTTTATCCTTCAATTGAGAGAAGTAGTTGTTGGGACAGGACTTGATGAATGGATCTTCTATGGGAAATTTTCAGACTGGAGAAATTTTGAAAAATTCTCACTGATAATTTTCCAAAATTTCCCCGATTAATCCAATTTTTCAAAAAAATTCCCTCCCCGCGCGGGGGCGCACGAGGAAGATTCTGCACCTCTGGTTAATTGTTTATTCACTAATGTATTATTAAAAACTCTTCTTAGTTCAGATGATTGGTTAAATGCATGTGTTGCTATTGAAAGAGCATTTACTGCTATTCAAGGATTCAATTTTAGCAAATTAAAAAGTAAATATATAGCTAAATGTGTTCTACCAATAATATTTCTATTAACAATTATTTCTTACATTCATGATCCAAAATCTCGTGAATTATTTGATGATGAAGATGAACCAAGAATATGGTGTATCGTAAATTATTCACGAAAATTAAAAATATTTTATACATTCATCAATGTATTTCATTTTTTAACACTATTTATAATTAATTTTCTATCTGCTTTGATTATCATTATTCAAGTATTTAAAACTCGCTCAAAACTTTAAAACAATTTAAGATATAAAACTCTTCTTTATATTGAAATCAAACGACACAAACATCTTCTTATTGCATCATGTGTTTTAATTCGTAGCTTCTCAAAAGAGATACTTTTTTAATAGTGTACAGCTATTTAAACAAAGGTTATAGCTACTTATACAGCCTTTGACTATTTAATCTTTTTACAGCTGCTTAATTATTTCCTTAGCTATTTAATTCTTCCACAGCTACTTAATCTTTGGCACAGCTATTTAATTATTTCCTTAGCTATTTAATTCTTCCATGGCTATTTAATCTTTGTCATAGCTATTTAATTCTTTCTCCAACTATTTAATTTTTCTACAGCTATTTAAATCGTTCCACGGCTATTTGGAAAATGTACTATTTTGCGTATGAACATAAACATTAATTAAAATTACAATATAATAAAAGCAATGTTGCCATTTCGATGATCAATAAAGTTAATAAATATGCAGTGAAATTCTATAACAATATCTCAGGCATTCACGATCTTTAACACATTGAAATATCTATATGTATATGACTTATTTTCTCAAAATTCAACTCATAATTGTTTAAGACATCGTTAACAAAAAGAATTTTTTCTTAAATAATTCTATAATAAGAACAATAGAAAAGTCACTAGTTCTAATA